CCAGCTGAGCAGAGCAAGGGAGAGGGAATTCAGAGGAAGACCCAGGCCCACCCCCTCTTCATCCTAGGGGATTCAGGAATAGAGAAGGGAGCAACGTGAGTTGTGTGGCTTACGGGGGAGGAAAGGGCCCTGATTCCCTTCATTAGCTGCAGCTGGGAACAGCGTTTAAAAAGGGAAGCTGCGCACAGCAAAGTTGTTGAGAGCAAATCGTGAATTATCTGGCATCTTCAAGGCTTATCTGGGTTCCTGGCATCTTCCCAACTGTGTGTGTTTGGCTGAGCTTTCAAGGCTGCAATTCCTGCCCTGTCAAGTTAATGACTGCAGTGTGGTTTGTTTGGATTTTTAGTTACAGTTTGTATGTACTTTGTTTTCAGACTGAATTTTCTCCATTTAAAGGCTGTTCCTGAGAGTGTTTTTTTCCAGTTGAAGGTAACCTGGACATTAGGGGCAAAGTTGGAGATAATTAAAGGGACTCTTCTTGCTTATTGAACTGTGTTGCCTTTGTGCCATGCCCCTTTGGGTCATCACAGATGCCTCTCCTGAAGGAAACAAGTTTTGTCCTGGAAGATCTAAACCATCATTGGTTGTTGCCCTGGATCGCCTTCCTGTGGCCGGGTGTGTGGTGGCTGATCAGACCCAGGCATTTTATCTGTCTCTTCCAATCTGGCTTCTGCCAGCTACTGGCACGGAAGCTGCTTTATTTGTCTAGATGGAGGATGGCAGGAGAGAGGAAGGGAGGAGCCATCATTATGGATCATCATACAATCAGCTAATGGTTTAGACCTAGAATTTATTTATATAGTTCAGACACTACAGAATGTTGCAGCAAGAATGCTGGGTGATGTGACTTCATTTCAACTGGCAAAACATTTCATTGCCTGAATATGCTCAGGACACGGCAATGAGGACCCGCGTGCAACTTCCAGCCTTCTGCCCAATTTCAGCCTTCCCAGCGTTCATCTCATGACAGCATCGTCCTGATGAAGAGGGTAAACATCTACTCTGTGTTATTCTGCAAGGACCCGAAGTAGAAAGCCTGCTGCATTCTTATTTGGTGGCTTAAAGAGAGCCCATTTTTCTGACTGCTTACTTATTGATTCAGTCTGGGGCCAGAGCCATAAAGGATTAGCTACCTTCCACTGCACCTCAAGATCCTGTCCAGTGGGAAAAAAATGTCTGGCCCATGGTCTGAACCCTTATCTTCTACGATTTACTTGTCCTGCACTTCACAAAGAAATGCAGAAATTGTAGTAACTAGCAGTCAGCATGGAGTTGTTAAAAACAGGTTATGTTTTTAAAACCAATCTTATTTCATTCTTCAACATAGCGACTGAATTAGTAGACCAGTGAAATACTGTGGACATAATAGACTTCAGCAAGACATTCAACAAAGTAGACCACAACCTACTTCTTGGTAAGCTAGAAAAAAATGGAGTAGATAGCATCACCACCAGATGGATTCGTAACTGGCTGACAAACCGTACTCAATGAATAGCCCTTAATGGGTCTAAGTCTACATGGAGGGAAGTAAGCAGTGGGGTGCCACAAGGTTCTGTCTTAGGCCCAGGACTCTTATAAATGACTTAGATGAGGGAATAGAAGGGGAACTTACCAAATTTGCAGATGATACTAAGCTGGCAGGAATAGCCAACACCCAAGAACAGTAATAGTGAACCTTTTAGAGATCGAGTGCTCAAACTGCAACCCCAAACCCACTTATTTACCACAAAGTGCCAACGTGCCAATTTAACCTGAATACTGAGGATTTACTACCTAAAATAATTTCAGCTAATTGTTCTAAGAAAAACATGATAAATGCACTTTTATGCCTTCATTTTTCCCCACTTTTGAAATATGACGTTTAGCAAGAAAAAAGAAACTTTTGTCATCCCTTTTCCTCCCTTTCCCTCCCTCCCTCCCTTCCCCTTTCCCTTCCCCCCCTTTCTTTCCCTCCCCCGCTTTTTCTCTCTTCCCGACTCTCTTTCCTTCCCCTCTTTCTCTCTCTTTCTTTCCCCTCCCTCTGTCTCTCTCATCCAAAGACCAGCTGGCCAGCGGGGAGGCAGGGCATTCGAACACCAGCAGCTCTGCAGGAAGCGCGCAAGTGAAAAAGTTCACTCAATACCAACTTCGCGAGATCTTTCTCTTTGGCGAGAAGTTGGAATTGATTGAGTGAACTTTTTTTAAACTTTTGTTTCCCTGCAAATGATGGCAAGAAGCACGACGGAGAAACACAATGGAGCTGAGCCGGGGCAACGGTGCGTGTACCCAGAGTGGGCTCTGCGTGCCACCTCTGGCATGCGTGCCATGGGCTCGCCACCACTGCCCTAGAAGATAGGCTCAAGATCCAGAGGGATCTTGACAGACTAGAACACTGGGCCGTATCTAACAAAATGAAATTCAGTGTAGAGAAAAGTAAAGCTCTACACTTAGGCAAGAAAAACCCAAAGGACACCTATAATAGACTGGGTGAAACCAGGCTTCATAGCAGTAACTGGGAGAGGGATCTTGGAGTCTTAGTGGACAACCAGCTAAATAGGAGCCAGCAGTGTGCAGTGGCAGTCAAAGAAGCTAATGCAATCCTAAATTGTATTAACAGAGGGAGACAGTCAAGATCAAGAGAGGTACTAATACTTCACTTGATATTAGGGTACTAACTATAAAGCCTTAGTAAGACCACACCTAAAATCCTGCATCCAGTTATGGTCACCACACTATGGGAAAGATGTTGAGACTCTAGAAAGAACGCAGAGAAGAGGGAGTCAGCCTATTTTCCAGAGCACCTGAGGGCAGGACAAGAAGCAATGGATGGAAACTAATCAAGGAGAAAAGCAACCTAAAAATTAGGAGAAATTTCCTGACAAACAGTGACCCCCATGACTAGAGGTTTTTAAGAAGAGATTGGATTGCATTAAAGGAAATGAAATTCCTGGAAGGAGAAAGTTCCCCAGGAGGAGCAGAAAAATAAATGCCGGAGAACCCAAAGATGTAGAAGCGTCTCATCTGGAAAAGTCAGACGACCAGGAGGCCTTCAACCTGATGCAGCTCAGCAACTGGCACCAGGCTCTAGCAAACAATCTATAGCCACCTCGGGAATCTTGTCTTCTTTAAAAAAGTTGAACAGCAGAAGAGTCAACCCTCCTTGGGTTGAAGAAATCCAAGAGTCTGAAGAAGAGCTACCCTGCAACGGATGACTCACCAAGGCTGGTGTGAAGACCCGACACAACACAGTGAGATGGGCTGTCTTCTAAGTGTCCATTGCATGATGTTTGAACTCACAATTACCTATCCCTTCCCAAGGCTTCTTGGAGGAGAATATAGAGAAAATGACATTGTAATTAGACCCTGAGCAGACCTCCCGAGTGAACGAAGCCTTGCGAAGGAAGGAGAAGGGACAGGGAGTGAAAGTAAGGGTTTTGTCAGTCTTTCCAGTGGAGCATTACAGCAGAGAGAGAGAGAGAGAGAGAGAGAGAGAGATCAGAGCCCTGGAAGTGAACAATTGGCAGCATCGACAACCAGACATCCCCAAGGCTTTAATCTAGCCAAGACATAAAATACTGAGAGAACCTCAGCTTTTCTTAGTAGCATCTTGAGGACGCTCCAGCCCAAGGGACCCATCAACTGACATTATTATAATCTATAATTTTACATGTTTTGTATCCATGAAACTCTTACATACACTAATTTTAATTTGAAACAGAACAGTAACAAATGAAACGGACAACAAAGGCTAAGACCTTTGGGCATAATATACTGATACAATAATGGGGAAATGTATGGCTGAAAGGACTGAAATTTGTATCATTTAAAAGATAGCTTTTATAAACGGATGTAGCTGATGTGGGACTCCAGAATTATTATCCAGAATGTACAAAGGTACTTAAAATTTATGTTGGAAATGTGGAGAACATGAAAGGACATTGTGTCTAGTAGACTTGCTAAAAGCCAGAACATTTTGGGTTCAAATATGTAAGCAATACAAGAATTCAAAAAAATATTCACTTGAAAGCAGAAATCTTGTTGGAACTAACGGACCAATAATTAGAAAAGTTATGTGAGACTGTTGTTATATATGGCCTCTGCCGCAAGATTATGTGCACAAAAACGGAAATACTCTGAGATGCCTACACTGGAAGAATGGCTGGTGAAGACGGCAGGATTAGCAGAGATGACAAAATGACCTTGTTTGGTTAGAGGAAGGACAATAACTACATTTATTAATGGCTGAAAGCTCCTGGTGGACTTTTTGTTGAAAAAAAAAAAAAAAAAACTGTACCTCTCCCACCAAGACCTCTGGCAGGCTTTGTTCTCTTCCATCCCTACCTTAAGGGCAGGTGCCAACATTTCATTCGGGGAGAGCCCACCTCCTTGGGCTATGGAAGACTCCAGGGCCCTCCTCTGCGCGTCCCCCGCCCCCTTTATGAAGGTCCCAGGTGGGACCACCTGGAATTCTGGAGCTGGATGTTACTTTTATGGGATAACCCTGTGGTCTGTTTATGCCTCTCGTCGTCACAGGTTTTGATCTCTATGGGAGACTCCGGCTTTGGATAACATGAAGACACTGAAGTTAAATCCAGGGAAGACCTGAGGGGCTTCCTGGCTGGTGATGATTTCTATCCAGTCGTAGACTTACCTGCTCCCCCTGGAAAAAGCAGACTTGGGGGGGAGGGGGATATTGGGCCTAGGCTTTCCCCAAGTGCTTAGGTGACCACAAGGTGGCTAAACTCCCGTTCCTTTTGGAAGACAGTCCTAAGGATGAGCCACCTGAACTCCCACTGGGCAAAGGAGAAACCCCCCCCCCCCCCCCCCCCCCAGTCTCCCCACTCCTCAAGGCACCTCAGCAAAACTTCCCCAAATAACGAGGAAAATCAAAATACTGGCATCTAACTGGAACACAGAAACATTGAAGAGACTAGCTTTTTTATCGCATATTCAAAATATTTAATAAGACAAACGTAACAAGAATATATTTTTACATAAGTTAATTGGTTTTTAGAAGATGGCTAAAGAATTCAAGAATATTTAATGTAACAAAGAACTCTGTTAAGCGATCTTCTATGGTAGAATGAGAAGCTCCTTTAGATTTCTTTCACCCTTTTGAGTGTTTTCCTTGGTAAAATATTTTTTGTGGGGGGTGAGATCTTAATATACAATTCCATCTTTAACAAAAGTTACAGATCGTCACTGCCAGAAAGCCAGCCTTCCCTGTTCTGTAGGCCTTTCCTCCTTTGCACATCTCCCTTCCACCGACGCCTCCTTCCCTCCCTTGAAGGGCAGAGAAAGAATTAATTCCTGGAGCAACTCCTGCATAAAACTCACTCGCCTCGCTCTTCCTGGGCTACAATGAGTTGCCATCTGCTTACGAGAAAAATATACGTCGTCTTCTAGGATGCAAAACAGGGGGGGTGGGGAGAAACGGGACACAAGACACAAGGCCTCATCATTTTAGACTCCGGAAGGAAGAAGAGACCGGAAGGCCACCTTCCTTCCAGCACCGTGTCCAGAGACTCCAGGGACGGCAGTGCCCCGTTTGGCGCAAAGACTCCCTTTAAGACCAACAGAAGACTGCTGGGAGGCGTAGAGCCAGCTCCCCGTGGATTTCCTCTCATGCTCTCATCTCCACAGAAGGAATCCCAAGGCAAATTTGTCGGGTATTTGCGGGCTCCTTTGAGGGAAACCAGAAAGCGAGCGTTGGGAGTGGGGAACCCACGAGGCAGCTGACAGAGGTGAGCTTAAAAGAGTTTGTAAAATGTTTTTTTGCACTGTGAATGATGTACAAGAGGCACAAGAAAAATTCCTGGCTACATTCTTCAGAGTTCATTCTGACTAGCTTCAGGACCGAGTCTGGTTTCAGTGCCCGTCCAAGAGCGTTTTCGAGGCTAAACTGTGGGACTGGATTATATTCTTGACAGCTCAACACACCAAAAACATTCAAAGTCCTCTGCCAGGCACATCGAAGAATGCAGAATGCACGTTGAGTGGGAAAAAGCAAAGTACATTTGCAAACGAAAGGTAACAGACTCGTGTTCAAAAAGGCAAAAGGGGTTTGGGGAGATGACCGCTTGGCCCCTCCAGGGAAAAGGGGGAGGGGGGAACCCCTTCTTTCATTGCCCAGCAGTGAACCCTGGCGCTGCTTCTTTGCCAAGGCCTCTCGGGGGAGGGGGGGGGGCCCTGGCCCCCCCCTGGTCTGCTGGAGGCTGCTGCTGCCCCCCCCCCCCCAAGCGTTGGGCCAGGCTGGTTCAAAGCCACAGGCGGAGCTCCCAAGTTGTTCTTCCGTCTCCCGATGAGGATTAATTCCACCTATTCAACCAGTTTTAACCCAAAGAGCTCAGCCTGCAGAGAGGGGCACCCATTCCTCCTTTAAAGATGCTGCACCGGGAGGGTCCCGGAAGCCCCCTTTCCTTCAGCCCCACATGCAGGAGCAGCAGCAGCTACATGGGGTGGGAGGTGGAGAAACTGCGAAGCCACTTGCAAGACCCCACAGGGGTTAAGATCTTCGTGGTGAAACGTTGAGCAGTTTTTGAAAAGCTTATCCTGTCCTGTGACCCAAACATTCTCTTCATCTGAAACAAACTTTATCCGAAGCACCGTTAAAAAGAAAAGCCAAGAAGGAAAAGTTAGTTCTTCTCAAGGAAAAGTCAACAGATCTCCATGTGGTCGTCTCCTGGAATCTGGGGGGGGGGATATGCCTGCTCCCCCAGACACCCCCGCCCCCCATTTAATTGAGGCAGGACCTTTATTACAATCGAACCTTGAAAGAGGTCGCCTGAAGACACAGACTCCTTGGCTGCGCGCAGCCCTGGTCAGGTGGCAGCACCTGCAGACAGGTGAACGCGGCAAGGAAAAGGCACCTGTGCGCTTCTTTTAGCTGAAGAGACGGAGATGATCTCCAACGGCTTTGACGAGGTTGCAACAAGCCGCTTCTCCTGCTCTGGGGAGCACTGGGGGTGTCACAAAAATAATATTTACCCAACATTTAGGGACACTTTCTCAAGAAAGTCTTTGTGATACAATCAGGTGACCTTCTTTAGCCTTGTGCTTTTTGCAGCTTATATTCGGTTTAGTCTCTGGCAAGAAAAGGACGAAATCTTCGTTAACACTTAATGCTGAGTTTGCCCAATCGTTCTGGTAACTAAACCTGGCTCGCTCAACTGACCGGAGGGGTCCACCAAAAGAGGTCAGTTGGTTTTAGGGCACAGTCTTTGAGTTTCTGCTTCTCTCCGCTTGTCCTGCTCTCAGGTTTCAAAGTATTTGTAAATTGCCGTGACGTAGAGCATAACGTTCTGCCAGTCTGGACGCTCCGTTCGTACCATTTCATTAATATCCTACCAAGAAAACAAGAAGGGAAAAAAAGGAGAGACATAAAAAAGACGCCAGTCACGTAGAATTAACTTCTTCCCCTCTGGATACCAGCTTGTCTATAAAAGTAATTACATTAATAAATAAAACTCCGCAGGCTTTCGGAACAGAGGCGGCTGCCTCTGGAAGCAGGTCAGGGCCTGGCTGGTCCTCCTTACACTGAAGGCCCCAGCTGGCATTCAGACAGTCTGGGCCGCCCATCTGCATGAACCAGTTTCAGCGCCCATCTGCAAGGAGAGCAGGCCCTTGTGATGTCACCAGGCCTTCCTGTTGGGCTGGGAGCGGGAGGCAGAGAGAGGGGGGAGGGAGGGAGGGAGGGAGAGAGGGAGGGGGAGGGAGAGAGAAGAGAGAAGAAGGGAGATAGGGAGGGAAGGAGAGGGAGCACTTTGCACCAAGATTTGTTGCTTATTCTCGGCTGTGCCTGTGAGTGACAGGCACAGAAATGGCAACTGATGACCGGCAGCTGAAGATGCCTGCCACCTCTGCCCTCTTCCCGCTCCTCCCTTTCGCTGCCCTGCACAGGATGCCCTTCTCCATGCCCCAACCGTGCACTCTTTTCAGTGCCCAAGGCTGCTGTCTTTGCAAGGACTTACCAAAGTGGATTTGATGCCAACGCTCTCAGCGGCCTGGAAAGCCAGCGTGAAGTTTCTTCTCTGAAACAGAGTGAGACGGGAGGCATATAAATTTAATAAAGAAGCATATCTGCAGAGCCTCCCTCAGACACAATCATTCCATGCGGGACGCCTGCTAGGATGCAGGCCAAGGAGAAAGGACCGGGGTGCAGCCTTGTCCGGTTCCTGTTGGGCCTTTGCTAGGAACGGCAGGGTGTACAAAGGGAGCAGTGAGGGCGGCTTCTGGCACGGGCTGGTTCGGGCAGCTCCCGGGCGAGTAGCATACCTTGTCCTGACTGTTCAGCTCCTGGTAGGGAATGTGCGCTGGGAGGTAAGTGTGGAGGACAGCGCAGAACGCCAAGCCATCGTTCCAGCTGCTGCTGAAGTTGGTGATATCGATATTCTGAAATGGGGGAACCAAAAACAGGTGAGGGACAGCACATCTTCCAGGAACGAGGGGCTTACTTCCTTAGACCCAAAACACAAGTCAAGATAAAACAGAACCGTAAGCGAGTAAAGGCAACGGAGGCGGTGAGAGGGGGAGGACCCTGGGCTGCCAGCCTCCAAGAATCACAAGGGTCACTTAAGCAATCAAAGCCCATCTGCCCCCGACTCAGAACAGGAAGCCAAGCTGGAGCCTCCCTGATGGATGGATGTCTGTCTGCTTCAGAATTCCCGCTGTGTCTCTGGATCAAGGGATGCCCTGCCTGACTGCTCTTCCCTCCAGGCCTTGCCCTCTGCGGTGACGAGAAGGGATGCTGGAAGGAATACCTGGCGGGCCCCTTCGGGGTGCTCAGCTTTTCTGGTCATGCAAGCATCCTCCTGCCCACCCCAGACCTCGTCTCAGGTTCTCTCTGCATCGGTTCACACCCCGCGGCCTCAGGGTTTCCATCAAGCAAATTGTGAGTCTTTTGTAGAAGTAGCGTTTAAATGTTGGGCTTATGGAAGGAGAGCCTCTTTCAGCCACTGACACGAACCGCTCAAGAGAAAAAGTTTTGCACTGCTTGTTTTGCTCTGTCACAGAAAACGCCTCCGCTTGGGTTCCTCTCTTGCACACAGCTCATCCCCGGGTCAGATTAAAGCCCCAGAAGAGCATCGGATAAGAGATCCCTTCCATCCCTCTGATCGCTGTAAGCTGACCTACAGCTTGTACCTGAGAAGTCTGAAACTGATGCAGCCTCAGGAATTTTAAACAAGCTTGAAAGTGGCTTCTTCTTCTTCTTTTTTTTAAAAAGGATACAAGATTCTTACAAATGCAGCGGCTGGAAAGCAAGATGTGCGCGGTGTTCTCGCTCGATTTCGTTTGTCGCGTGGACGATGAGAAAATGCTTAGCACTCGCACTCACTTGGCTGGGATCTCTGCCACAGGCAGTCATCTCTGGCAGCCCTGCAGTTTGCTTAGGTTCTTGAAACACTTGGGGCTTCCCCTGATTCGGGGGTTTATCTGAGATCATTTCAACTGTTTAAGGTCACCGGCAAATGCCCAACTAGGTTTAGCATTAATTCTAAGCAAAGGAAAGGTAGAGGAAGATTTCTCCAAAGGAGCCTGTAGGAGTAACGTTACAGGTTTAGGGAAGAACTGCTGACTGACGGCAACCTTGCCACCGTCCATGGCACTGTTTGCTCAATTTGCTAAACCAACAACAACTAAATGCCGAGGGCTTATCTCTCTCTGGGGGATGCTCAAACACGAAGGCATGAGGTATCTAACATTTTGCCGAGAGACCACTTAGTTTACACAAGTTGCTAAGTTTTTTTCTCAATTAAATACATTTGTCAGCACAGAAATGTTGGTATAGGTAACTATTGCCAACCAATACTCGTTAAGCAATTGTATTTCTCTAGAGGCAGGATTAATTCCACAATTACAAATGGGCACCAGGTTGGTTTATGTATTTGTTAACCAGACAATCCTTCTCTGACAACAATATTCTGTTTATTCCTTTCTATTGTAAATGGAAATGTGTATCAGAATATCAGAAAACTACAGTGATATTTGATAGCTGTAGAAACAAACCGGTGGATCAACTGCCCTTTAATGGAAGCTGCAGCCTGTTTCAGGGCCGAGAAAATGTAGTCACAAGGTAAATGGGAAAAAGGAATCCTCCAGAAATAACTGAACTATTTGCGGAATTTGGAAGTGTAAAAAGAAATAGAACAAAAAAAAACCCACCCATGAACAAACCTATCTTTTTATAGACATACCTTGATTAAAAAGATGTATCTAAATATAAAATATACAAGGCAGAGAAACTCAATTCCCCTCCCATAAAATGATCCCAGGTGATGTCGGAATTCTTTGGAATTCTCTCTCCTGCCACCCTCTTTTCCTAGTCACAGAATTTACTACTTCCTGATATTTCAACTTTACTTCACTAGAATCCTCTTTAAGGTGCCTGTTTGGGATTCATAATACTGTAAACCACTTGACTTCGTTAAGGAAAACAAAAGTATAAAAACCAAAGAATTACAACTTGTCCTTCATTCCTTAGGTGCTTTCTTTATCTAACTGGTGTCAGATCCACCAGAAACACCCTTTTGGATACGTGGCGCTGAGATTATGAAATGAAGCAGACAATCCCATGATGAAGGCTTGCTTCTCCGAACAAACACAACAGTGTCCAAGGAATCCTGCAGGCTCCCTACTCCTGCCAGACCTGATTCAGTGCAGAAAATCCACACCTGGAGCACTGGGTGGTCTATGCTATTAATCATGGGAGTAGCAGACAAATTGGAGCTCATATGACTCAACCTTCTTTGGATACATTTACTTGTCTTGTTTACAGTCCTAGACTCATAAAATGGAGGCATATTTAAGACATGGGGGAACCCCGCCCACCGCCGCCCCAGACCTGAAACAATTAATGTTGAGAAGAGGATATCAATTGATGTCTACGAGCCCCAGATAGATCTTGTCGAAAGAAGACTAATCTCCTGATCAGAAAATAAACTGCAATATCTAATTGAGCTATGATGGCACAGTGGTCAGAGTGCAGTACTGCAGGCTCCTTCTGCTGACTGCCGGCTGCCAGACATTTGGCAGTTCGAATCTCACCAGGCTCCAGGCTGACTCAGCCTTCCCTCCTTCCGAGGTGGGTAAAATGAGGACCCAGATTGTTGGGGGCAAGAGGCAGACTCTGTAAACCACTTAGAGAGGGCTGTAAAAGCACTGTGAAGTGGTATGTAAGTCTATAATTGTTATTGCTAACCACCGAGTTAGGAACATTAGGGGCCAAGGGTAGCACAATGGGCACAGTAGTTACTTGGCCTGCGTATCTGAGCAGACACACATAGAACTCCACAGGAAGTCGGTGTATTTGCCTAGAATGAATGGCCAACTGGCAGCCCGTGGGCTGGATGCGTCATGTGCAGGCCACACCCACCCCAGCTCCGCAAAGGGAAAAATCGTCATGGTACGTCATGTGACGGCGACATGACACAGCACGTTTGACACCTGTGGCCTAGAGACTCCAGAATAAACCAATTTGAGCAAAGGAAAAATATTACTTTGTATGGACAGGCAACATAAAGGACAATGGAGAACCTACTAGAGGACAATAATGCGGGTGGATGTTTTTGACTATAATTGACTATAAGGGAAACATTTGGTGTTAATACAAAACAAAATCTCTGTAAAGATTTTTCTGTCTGATGCAGGACCCAGAGTTTGTGTGTCTTTAGAAGCATTGCTTTGTAAAGCTGGATTGCCAGCCTGGTTTGTCTTACAACTTGAAAGGATTCTCATGAAAAACCGCCTTTTGAAAGTGTTGGTTAGTATCTAAAAACCTTTTCCTTCCTTCTTATCCAGGACCACACCTTTCTCTTGAATGATAAAGGAGATTCATTTTTCTGTTTAAATTCCATTAAAACTTTATCTGGGTTGAGGGATGATACTGTCTTGAATGAGAGGGAAGAAAATGCCAACCGACTGGAGTCCGTTTGCCTTCCCAGGGATGGTAAAAAAAGAGCTCCTTCAGGAGGCCAAGATGAACCCAGGACTCAGCCTTAGAAAGGTGCTTCAGCCAAACACGGACAGGGCTCCATGTGAGGTGCAGCCAAGCTCTGATCGAGCCAGGCCTTGGTGCTGAGCAAGGGTCGCTTTCAGAAACTTAGACTGAACAGCTCTTTAAGGCACTTTACTTGGCTGTAGTTATTGCTTTAATTCCTGTATGCTACTGCAGTGACTTCCAATTTGCCCAGAAGTATTTGATGTAACAAAAATCTCTCTGGGCGGGTGATCAACAGGTGTTGCAGCTAATTTCCTCCAGAGGCTTCGGCATCTCCGGGTTTTTGATAGCATTGATTAAAATGAGTAGCCTTAATGGTTGGCAGGCTCTCTTTCTGAATCGCCCAAAGGAGAACAAAGAATGAGAGGACTGCCGTGTGGTTCTTTTGAGCAGGGAAATAAACTCCCACCGTCTAAGAGACCAGCAGAGATTAGTCTCCGCTGCTTTTTGGCTTTTTCCTACTGAGAGGCTCCGTTCTGCGCTCTTTCTCTTCACATGCGCGTGAGGAAAAACCAGCCATTTCAACCTCTGGGAACAGGAGTGTCAGCTACTCTGCCAGGAACGATATTTACCTTGTGCAAAGTAACCAGCGTAGCTATTAATAACTGTTCAGCTGGGACGCACAGGATCTGTTCCTGCAGGCACAGGACATACCGGCTCCCCCGCGGCGGAGGTGGCGGCGGGTGGCACAGCCTGGCTCCCCCCTTTCCCCCACCCGCCTGTGCTCCAAACAGCCACGCTTACCTCATAGCCCTCGGTCTTCTTCTGGCACCACTTCAGCAGAGCGTTTCTCTTGGAGCCCCCGTACTCCCTCGCCAGGGCAGACAGAGGGTCTTTCCTCTCCTCCCTAGAAAGGAAGGAAGAGTGTTTGCTCAATGGAAGCCCCCCACACATCCAGAGGGCCCACCCGCGGGCTGTGCCATGCCTGGGCAGGAGGCCCTGCGCCAAGAGCCCCTTCCGCCACCAGGAGCGCCCTCGCCTAAGAGGCTGCAGCCAGGCTGGGTGGGTTGCTCAGCACGCCGGGGGCAGATTTGGGGAAATGTGGGCAAAACGGGCCTTGTATATGTATGTGTGTATGTATGTGTGTGTGTGTGTGTGTGTGTGTGTGTGTGTGTGTGTGTGTGTGTATGTCTGTATATATACACACACAAACTTTTCTTATGTTTTCGCGGATATTTATATGTATGGTATTTAGGTTTCTTCGGGTATTTTCCCACGTCTTAATATTTGTGCTTTTATTATAGCAACATTTCAGCATGATCTCATCTGCCATCCTCAGGCTTGTGTATTGGGTTCTTTTTAATCTTGTGCGTCAGGCTTGGCAGCCATAAAAAAACATTCAAATAAAGCAGAAAGCCAGCACCAAATTCAAACAAAAAACGGCTATCTATCTATCTATCATCTATCTATCTATCTATCTATCTATCTATCTATCTATCTATCTATCTATCTATCATCTATCTTCTACCTATCTACCTATCATCTCTCTCTCTACACTTATCATATTTATCTATCTATCATCTATCTATCTATCTATCTATCTATCTATCTATCTATCTATCTATC